CTAATCCTCAGCTGTACGGAAAACGCAGTCCCGGCGAACAAAAACCGCACCCGCACGCCTCGCAAGGACTGTCAACAAGAATAAACGCGGGATTGCATTCATTAAGCGGCTGGAAAAAGGAACCCTGATGCGTCGGCGAGGGATTGGGTTGTGTCAGCGAGGATGCTTCAAGACCCCTGTTCCCTTCCCGAAAAACGGCCGAAAATGCCTGAGACTGCAGTAGTACTGCGATATGATACCTCCGCAATAGGAAGCATCAGCGATCGTTAGAAACGACGAATGTGCCTGCTACAGATGTGCGGAGGTAGACAAGCGTGTATGACGCTGGCACATACAAGCCACGAGGCTTGAATCGTGGCACCATTTTGACGCCTACCATGTACAGTTTGACGGCTCTCCAGCCCCACAAGGCCAGCCGGAGCGAAAGCTTGTCTATGGTGTCCTCGTCGCAGCCTACGAACGTCAGCAGGCGGGCGCGGGCGGGGGAGGGGTCAATGCCGTAGCCCGCTCTGGCGAAACGTCCAGGAGGGAGGATGACGCCCTCCAACATTCATTTAAGGCAACAACCACCAACGCCAAGGATTGATTGAAAACTGCTTTCTGCGGCGAGCCATCTGGAGCAACTCCAACTCCAATACTCGGATGCCTCATGCGAAGCATCGTCAGAAGCCTAGGCACTCCGGCGTGCGACGAAAGGTTTCTACACAATGACTGCTGTCTGGTGGTGGAACACGTGAGTTGCGATATGTACGACAAGTTCCATGTTTCGTCTCGGGGGTAGCCCTGAGGCGGAGGGATGGTGTCTGTGGTACCCTCGTCCAATCGAGAGAGCTTGTTTGTGCTCTGAGGAGTCCTCGTGTTAAGTCCTACTTTATTCCACATGTCTTTCTACAAAGGGCAAACGACATTCCACAGCAGGATCAGTTATACTCCTAGCCGTTGTTTCGGGGCGAGACGATCTAGGCACGGGGGGCGGAGGGGGGGGGTTCTAACTACTATTCGCTTTCTCTGCCCTTTGACCGATAGCCACACATCACCAACCAGTCGACCGCGTTTCATCTACGAGTTTTCTGCAGAGATGGCAAGGCCCATGTGGAGGTAGTATTTTATCTCTACCGGCATCTTCCCGGAAGTCTCCAGGCAATCTCTCGGCATCCGCCCTATGTGATTTACCGCCTTGTAGTGTTTGTTGCGCAAATTTTGTCTCTCGTCCTCTTGTCTTGTACGTAGACCCCCGCCTCTGTGTTGCCTGTAAATATCAGAGGTAGCGTGGGTGTGTCGGGGTCTTCCAACATCTCTGGTTTCCTTACACATATGTCGTTCGAGAAATCGTGATTCCCAAGCACTTCCAGGTTTCCATTCCATTCAGTTTTACACCCTGTTTATGTGTCATCCTCTTGGCCGGTCGGTCATCCTGGCACCTGGCCTACTTTTCAGCAGGCGCTCCTTTTTGAAGTGTCCACGTGTAGCGGGTGGAGATTCTGTATCAAGATGTACTCCGTTCTTTGATCCTGCCATCGATAAGATTTTCAGCTCCCTCACAACCCCCTGTCCCTCTACCTTTGGCAACCGAAATCCCGTCATGATTTAAGCGTCGAGTGAGCACCTTGTCGATGTGTGTCGC